CCTTTGTTTGATCAAGAAAAGCAATGTTTGAAACCTCGCCTCCGCAGGGCTGTACAAAGAATATTCAACTTCTGCGATCAAGATTTGGATGGTGCCCTTAGTGACGCTGAGTTAAATGATTTTCAGGTTCCCTTTCTCTATTACCCACTGACTATTGCATTCGTGAAATTTCCTCATCTCTCTAAGTCTCTATAAAATATTCTGCTGCAATTCAGGTAAATTGTTTTGGTGCCCCACTTGATCCTGTTGAACTCATGGGAGTTAAGAGAGTTGTACAAGAAAGACAACCAGATGGAGTAACTGATCTTGGTCTTACGCTTCCCGGTTTTCTTTTCCTTTTTTCTCTATTTATCGAGAGAGGTCGCCCTGAGACAGCATGGGCTATCCTACGGAAATTTGGTTACAATGATTCTTTGGAACTCAACACCGAGTTAATACCAATTCCAGCAAAGCATTCCCCTGATCAGGTGTGTGTGTGTGTGTTTTAAATAGTATTGAACTACTAGACTATCTTCTGTTATTTAAAGGATGTGATAAACTGGCTGGCCTGCTTTAAGTTAATTCTTGCATTCTGTTCCGTTGTTTGACATGCAGAGCATCGAGCTAACAAATGAAACTATGGACTTTCTGAGGGGATTCTTCCAGTTGTATGACCTTGATAATGTGTGTATGATCGTTTCTCTATCATCCAACGTTGATTTATGTTGTTCTGTATCACCTATAAACTTATTTAATCCTCAAGGAGCAGTGACAGTTCTTTAATGCTTCTTCGTTTTACTGCTATTTAGGATGGAGCCTTACGGCCAGATGAGCTAGATGATTTGTTTCAAACAGCTCCAGATTGGTAATTTTCGGGTGATTTCTTTTTGTGTGATTCGTTGCTCATTTTTTGTGTGTTATCAACTGTTACTTTCAAAGTTTGTTTAGTTAGGTGACCATGTTTTCTTTTAAATTTTACTGCCAGTGCCTCTAGTGCTCTCGTAGTCGTACATGAGTATATATATTGTTTCCGTTCTAAGTTCGTTTACATATACAATATGATTTAACGATTTCAGTCCTTGGCTTGAGGCTCCCTATAAAGATGCCGCAGAGAAAAAACCGGACGGAAAGTTGACAATCAATGGGTTTCTGTCTGAGGTTTGTATGCTTGCTGTCGTGGTGACGCTAAATTAGAATGATGTTTAATATCAGATGCAACATTTCTTTACCATGACTGATTATGGTTTGTTTTTTGTGTTAATGCAGTGGGCTCTAATGACGCTAATAGATCCTCGGAAAACTTTGGCTAACCTGATATATATCGGTTATGGTCACGATCCAACTTCAGCATTTTCTGTTACTAGGAAAAGATCAGTGGATCGTAAGAAGCAGCGAACAGAGAGGAACGTGTTTCAGTGCTTTGTTTTTGGCCCTAAGAAATCTGGAAAGTCTGCGCTACTTGATTCTTTCGTAGGGAGGTAAAACATTGCTAAGTATCCGTCTTATTATACTGGCTTTGATTGTTTATATGTGTGTTTACTCATGTTATATTCTCTAAGCTGTGTTTCAACTCCAGGAAATTTTCGGACGGCTATAAGGCAACGGTGGGTGAACGATATGCAGCAAATGTCGTTGATCAGCCTGGGGTAAGTAGCGGTTGTCTGAACTCTTATGTTTCCTTGTCACATGTGGATGTTTTCTTTTTGTTCTTAAGTGTCGGTTGCATTTTGTCAGGGCTGTAAGAAAACCCTCATATTGAGGGAAATACCAGAAGACAGAGTGAAAAAGTTTCTGGCGAATAAGGAATCGTTGGCAGCATGTGATGTTGCTGTGGTTGTCTATGACAGGTTAGCTCTCAGAAAATTTTTGCACCTCTTAGGATGGAGATGGAAAAATGAAGAAAATTGGGATAATATATATGTGTTGCAGTTCGGATGTATACTCGTGGAAAAAAGCGAGAGAAATGTTGATGGAGATAGCAAGGAAGGGAGAAGAGAGCGGTTATGGGACACCTTGTGTTCTGGTTGCGGCCAAAGATGATTTGGATGCATATCCAATGTCGGTGCAGGAGTCTGATAGGGTAAAAGCATCACCATGACCATATTAATAGCAAATAATTGGATATGATTAATAACTTATTGTAACTCAACAGGTTTGCATGGACTTGGGAATAGACATCCCAGTATCGGTAAGCATGAAAGATGATGAAAGGAATAGTCTGTTCCGGAAAATAGTGAGTACAGCAGAGAACCCTCACATGAGCGTGCCGGAGACAGAGTCAGGAAGAAGAAGTAAGAATATACGCCAAGTCGTGAATAGCTCACTTCTATTCGTCTCAGGTTCTTCTTCTATTACTTTCTTCTTCTATTTACGAATATTGATGATCACCTCCTAAGCTTATTAGTAGTAATAATGTTTGAAACGGCAGTGGGTACAGCTATTGGTTTTGCCGGTTTGGCGGCGTACCGTGCATATTCCGCAAGGAAGAATGCCTGAAGAGCTAGAAAAGACATCACAAAAGATGATATGATAATTGGCTTGGCTTAAAATCTCCGTGATTTTGGAATTTATAGATACAAAGTTATTCTTCTCTTTTAATTGTATCAAGACATTATGGGCGCAAGTGTGGCGTGGTGTGATCCTTCTTTTTCGGGTGTCTTGGGTTTCATTGGATTGGCTAATCTTCTAAGAACCAATGTGAACCTTTTTGCATCTCTCTAACTTTTTGTTTTCCTTGGTAGTGTAACAAGTATCATCGAACTAGTTGATGATAAGTGATAACATTCAGAACGACCATTTTCTTTTAATAATTACTTTAATTGTCTTGTATTTAAAAGATGGTGAAGATTTAATCGTATAAAAGTAAGCGAAATGAAATTAAAAATGAACCGACTGTTGTATATAAGATACAACATGTAGCACAATCTTAAAAAGATGGTTAACATTTAGCCACAGAAAATAGTAATAAGCGAAATGAAAATGGACCGACCGTTATACGTTATCTTGTTGAATAATAACAGCCTTACATATTCCTCTGCTTTTATCAAATCCAAATCCAATCATACTAAAACAAAAAAAAACTACAAGTCAAAGCAGAGCAGAGCAGAGCAGAGCAGAGCAGTGAGGGAACAAAAAATGGCAGCTTTATCATCATCCTCTCTGTTTTTCTCCTCCAAAACAGCTATTCCGATGAACAACCTCCTTTTCCCGCCATCTATCCACCGCTTCTCTCTTCCCTCTTCATCTTCTTCTTCCTTTTCCTCTCTCTCCTCTTCTTCTTCTCTCTTCACCACACACTCTCCAAAGAGTTCTCGAAGATCATCTCCTCAGGGATTCACCGTTAAGGCTGAGAAGAAGAATGTACTTATAGTCAACACCAACAGCGGCGGTCACGCAGTCATTGGCTTTTACTTTGCCAAAGAGCTTCTCTCCGCAGGACACGGCGTCACCATCATGACTGTCGGCGATGAATCTTCTGACAAGATGAAGAAAACTCCCTTCACCCGTTTCTCCGTAAGTTTTCTAATCCCCCAAAGAAAAACATATTTTTGAGTTTACTAAAATAATGATTATTTGCCTTTACAGGAAATTGTTAGCGGCGGAGGAAAGACGGTGTGGGGAAACCCGGCTGATGTTGCGACTGTGGTCGGAGGTGAAACATTCGACGTTGTTCTTGACAACAATGGCAAGGACTTGGATACTGTCAGGTCCGCTCATCTTTACTTTAAATAAAAAACCGATATGCCTTTTTCAGTGGATGATGATCAATGTTCCTTTTGGGCTTTGTGGTGGGAACAGGCCAGTGGCGGATTGGGCTAAAAGCTCCGGTGTGAAGCAGTTCTTGTTCATAAGCAGCGCTGGGATCTACAAGTCCACCGAAGAACCTCCTCACGTTGAAGGGGTAAGTACATCATAAGCATCACAGCTCACCATTTAATAATAATGTCTTCCTTATCTTCTAGGACGCAGTGAAAGCCGACGCAGGTCACGTGGGAGTGGAGAAGTACTTAGCTGAAACGTTCGGGAACTGGGCCTCCTTTCGACCTCAGTACATGATCGGCTCTGGCAACAACAAAGACTGCGAAGAATGGTTCTTCGACAGTAAGTAAACTACCCACACTTTATAGAAAAAACCACAAGTAATGATCAAATTGTGTTCACGACAGGGATTGTGAGGGATAGACCAGTGCCAATCCCAGGATCAGGATTGCAGCTAACCAACATATCTCATGTGAGAGACTTGTCTTCAATGCTCACTTCTGCTGTGGCCAACCCTGACGCTGCCTCCTCCAACATCTTCAACTGCGTTAGTGACAGAGCCGTCACTCTTGACGGTATGGCCAAGCTCTGTGCTGCTGCTGCTGGCAAAACCGTTGAGATCGTACATTACGACCCTAAAGCCATCGGGGTTGACGCCAAGAAGGCTTTTCCATTCAGAAACATGGTAAAAAACTAAATGAAACCCCTTTGGGAAAACTGTCTCTTCTCCTCCATTTTTAATTAGTTTTATTTATATAACCTTTGTTATCAATTGTATGATGATAGCATTTCTACGCGGAGCCAAGGGCAGCAAAGGAGATATTGGGGTGGGAAAGTAAAACGAATCTACCTGAAGATCTCAAGGAGAGATATGAGGAGTATGTAAAGATTGGCAGAGACAAGAAGGAGATCAAGTTTGAATTAGATGACAAGATACTCGAAGCCCTCAAAACTCCAGTGGCTGCCTAATCATATTATCTTCCTTTGTATCTTATAATGCTACCACCATATCTACTCTCTCTTTTTTTCACGGCTCACATGAGATGAACATTATTTTAGCTAAAAGACCATTCGAATTCATAACTAAAAGAGCAACAACAACAACAAACACTTGTAGTTAACTCGAAATAAAGGTTTATGTTTCAAGGAAATAGATACGAAGACAGTCTTAGATTCCCCCAACATACCTACTTAGGAGAGCAACGGATAAAACTTAAACCTACCTACATAGCAACAAGAGCATCACATCATGTCACCTCTTCCTATTCCTCCTCCTCTTGCTTGATTTTCAGACCTCCAAGCTTTGCTTCCAGTTCACTGTCTTCTTCCCCTTCCTCTTCCTCTTCCTCTTCTTCATCTTCAAAATCTTCTCCTTCAGGGTCATTATCATCCAAAAGACCAAGCTTGTCAGGGAAGTCCTTAAACATGTCAATTACCTCTTCCACACCTTCCTCAGATATGAAGTTCCCATTAATATTCAGAAGCTTGAATTTATATTTCTTCAAAACAGTTTGTGCCAAGGCCCTTGCCCCAGCTCTTCTCATCATGTTGGTGCTCATGTCAACCTCAGCCAGCTGCTCATGACCTTCATCAAGCGCCTTCGCGATTAAGATAGACCCTTCGTCTTTGAGTTCATTCTCAGATAAATTCAGCTTCCAAAGAAACCGTTTCGAGGCGATGCAATCCGCCAATCTCCCAGTGGATTTCACAGTAATATCATTCCCAGCCAATTCAAGAACTTGAAGAGAAGGAGCAGACTTAATCAGAGCTTCAGCAATCGCCTCTGTTCCTTCATCCTCCAAGTTCAGGTAACTCATATAGATCTCAGTTAACTCAGTCAACACTGACAAAGTCTTGGCCAATGCAACTCCACCTTCAACTCCAAACATGTTATCACGAAGATCAAGTTTCCTCAAATTGCTACAAGACTCAAGCGCTTCAGCAAGCGCAACACCACCTTCAGAACCAATCCTTGTAGACGAACACCGAAAATCTTCCAAAGACGGACACTGCTTCACAATCTCAGCAATAGCAACTGCTCCTTCATCACCAGTCATGTTGTTATGAAAGTGTAGAACCTTCATTTTGCTAGTAGAAGGAAGCAGCTCACGAACTGCCTTCGCTGCATCCTCGGAGATCCCATCATTCATCAGATAAAGCTCCTCCAAGTCATACTGAGACTTAATGAGAGAAGCAAACGCTCGAATCCCTTTCTCTCCCAAAGCATTATCCGAAAGATCCAAAAAGCTAAGCTTAGAACCTTCCAAGGCAGATGAAAACATGCTCATAACTTCAAGAGCTTCCGCCTCTGGTCTCCCCGCAACGAAATCCGAAAGATCCACTTCAATTAACTGATCCTTAACCAAAGACAAAACGCTAACTGCAAATTTAGCTGCTTCGGAGCCAAAGCTCCTGTTTGTAAAACGGATCTTCGTAAAAGAGTTGTTAGGATCAGTCAAAGGCTTCAAAAGCTCACGTGCCTCGGCTTCTTCAATGAAGGCTCTAACTCCACCAGATAAATCAAACAAGGTATCAGTAATGGTGTTGTTGTTCATCGATTCAACCTCCTTGGGACCACGTTTGATGACTTGGAGCATAAGTTTGCTGGATTCTTTAGCGTAGATCTGAACAGCGGAGGTGCCGTCACCACCACCGTCAGGCTCGTTGTGGAAGTGTTTGTTGGCAGAGGCGAAAGCGAGTTCTTCGATTCGCTTGGAGTCTTCCTCGGCTTGTTGGGGAGTTAAGAGACCGTACTTACGGGAGAAGATGGAAGGGGTTGTTAAGTTGTTGGTCATGCGGTCGATGAGTGTGAGGCGTGTGCTCTTGCTTGGTGGCCACATCTTGATTGATGAAACCGTTGGGGTTTTAACTGAATGATCGTCCATAGCTTTTACTTGCTGCTTCTGTAAATTTCATGTCAAGCAAAAAAAACAAAGATTACTTCAAGTAATTAAAATTGCAATTATCTATTACGGATACAAAAATGTCGCAATTCTAAAACGAAGAATGTTCTAAAAGTTGTCATACTACACAGTGTAGAAGAGGGAGATGTGATAAGGATGTTAAAATGAGAACAGGTTTCACTCACCTTTTTCTTCTCCAAATGGAATCTGCTCTCTAGTTACCGATGTTCTACGGGGAATGGAAAAGGATGCTTTTAAATCAGAGGAGAAGCGTAAATAAGAAGCAGAAAAGAGAGAGAAGAATCATTGAGACGCGTGCGTTTTTTGATAATGGAG